TGGAATTTTCATAAAAATTACATTTGTGAAGATCTGAAAAAACCCTGTCAGATTTATCAAAGATCCTCCATCCGTGTCAAAGAGAACGTACCATAAAACTGTCGTAGAAAGAACGAAAGTTCTACATCGTCTTCGTGCAACGTGAAGAATCATTAGGTAATACTATTCGCGAATCATCCTTTTCACTGAATGATTTTTAGAGCAAGGTTACAACTGTCGTGTTCTAGATCATAGAACGATATGTTTATACCTACGATGAAAGCAATGAAATCTGATTGAAGTTATTGTTCATAATCGAGCACCCTTTGAATTGTGAGAGTACGAGGTGACAAATGAAACGGAATTTCAGGTTTTGATATGTTGGATGAAAAAAATTGTGTCGAGTCAGTATCAGATTTCGTGGTATTCAGCAAATGCAGATTTCTGAGCTCACTGCTTGCAAAGAAGGACCATCTGAAAAAATCGAAAGAAACACGAAGTTGTCTCCTAAGAAATGATAATCGTATTCTGGTGGGTTTCTAGATTTTGTCGTGTTCTTCTTTGGTTACAATCTCTAAATGTTTCCACTGTAACTGCGGCAGTCATCTTCAATGGCCTGGTCGTGAAGTAGCTCCAGGGTATGCTCAGGGGCGGAAACGTTTATATTCTTGGAGAAAACCGATGTCCAATTCCAAATTCCCTATAGATCCTTATCAAGATATGCAACCTTCTGCTGCCGGTGATGATGTTCATCCGCAGCTCGGAATGCATATAAAATAACGAGACAAGTGTGCTGTCTACAGCAAATCTATACACTGGATTCTTGTTTTTTTAAATGAGTTGTTGATATGCAATAAAAAGAGGGTTGTAGACATAAAGCATCCCTGGGGAACACCAGCATTGATGGTGAGAATATTCGAGTGAGATTCATCTACAGTCACTTGCAAGGAACGTTTTTTCACGAAACTGGAGAGTCATACACAAAAATGATTCGATAAACCTTGGCATCGAAGTTTGACCAGCAAACCCTCATGCCACACACGGTCAAATGCCCTAGAAATATCAAGCGCAACATCTCTTGGATTTCCATGTTTCTCGATCGCGTTATTCCAAATATGGATGTCATACGATAAAAGATCTCCTATTTCCGGAAGCCATATTGATGATCGCTCAAGATGTTAAAGCCTTCCAAATATTTGAAGATGTGGTGGTTTATGATTTTCTGCGTGATTTTTGATATCACTGATAGCAGAACGACTGGTCTATAGTTTGGAAATTTTCCTAGTCGCGAGAAATTTTCCTACAAGATCGAGAAACTCTTTCCTTGTAAGATAGGTTGGAAAGTCTACGAGATACTGGTGCGAGTTCATTCGCGCACTTCTTGACTACAATGATGGGCAATTCATCAGGACCAGATGCCTTGTTGATAGATAGATAGATTTATTTATCTACGTTACATAATGTTTGTAGCAGTTCATATAAGTAATAGTCTAATTCTAACAGTAGGTTGTGAAATATCTACGTATAGTCATGGATAAACAAATACTCAGATCTCAAATACAAAATCTAGAGCAATAGTAAATATAGAACAAACAAACCATTAATGAAAGGCTAACAATATTTCAAATCTACAACAAGAATTCTAACTTCAATACCAAGATTAACAACTAACAGCCCCTTCTTATATGTTATTATTAGATACAAGTATAATAATTGTGATGCACTGTTTGGAACCTTTGTTGTAGCAATGAATATTACTGAAGTTTCATTCCAACACCAAACCGTTATTTTCAACACCTCAAAACGTGTTTTGGCCATCAAGTAATTATTCTCAAGAGTAAGATTATTCTTCCTCAAGGATAAGTAGGAAACATCAATGACATACTTCACCATGAAAACGCCATCTATGAATCCGACAGACATCTTTGAATTCGATAGCAATTTGAAGTGAAAAACAGAGAAAGACAAAGAACCAAACCTCGTTCGACGGTCGAAGCTTGGAGAGTCTCATTTATCTTTGAAAATGCTGGAAACTACTGTTGATCCTCTGATCACTGAAATCGTCAAAGCGAATCCTGATGAAATTGATATGGATATTATATTCCAACAAGATGGAGCACCACCACATCACTTCAGACAAGTGAAAAACTTTTTGTATACTACTTTTCCCTGTCGGTGGATTCAGGTCCTACAGAATGGCCAGCCCGCTCACCAGATTTGACACCTTTGGACTTTTTTAAGGGTCTATTTGAAGCAAAAGGTTTGATTATAGGATCATAGGACACGCGAATAATGCAGCTTAACTTTTGAGCAATGGTGCGGTACAATTCGTTTATTTTGTTAGGATTTAATGGGATATCAACCTTTGTTTTTTTGTATTTTCCTCAGAGGTCATTTATTAAGGACCAAGTCTCTTTAGTTTTGTTAGTTAATTCTCCAATTCTGTTTCTGTAATACATTTTCTTTGATTTATAAACTTTACGGTACTTCCTGAGGTACATACAGATAAATTAGTCATTTGTAAATTTCCTAATGTAATGCAGTGAACGTAAGTTTTTTGAGGACTTTTTCAGTCCTTTCGTCACCCACGACTTTTTACGCTTCAATTTGATTATCTGTATAGGAAAAGTCTTATCATACACGTCCAATAATATGCTGTGGAATGATAAGAAAGAATTATTTTTGGTCAGAGTGCTCTCACAGTCAATTCTGATACAATTCTGATAGGAACTATCATAGTTTGAGCTACCATGTTTACTTATGGTATGTTTCTTTGGCGACTCTAGAAGAACAGAACATATTAGGGCTTCGTGATCCGATAACCCGAATAGAATAACTGTGCACGACTGTATCTGCTCTTCTGGATTGCTACATACATAGTCAAATCGAGATGCAAAGAATCGAGAAATACGAGTATCTGCATCAACGTGCATACTTAAGTCAAAAGATGAAAGTAAATGTTTTAGTGAATCCCTAGCTGGAGATTACTAGGCAAGTCAGCCAGGAGTAGCTCTAGGTTCTGGGTGCCAGGGCATTCAGGAATCACAGGTAATGATAAAGCTGATGAATGCGCTAAACACGGATCATCAACTTCATATATAGGTCCTGAACCAGCTCTGGGGGTACCAAAATCATTGGTACGAAACCAGATTAGGATATGGACCAATAAGAAGCACACCAGAGTACTGGACAAAAGTATCTGGCAACAAACACAGTGGAACTTTCATTAGGAAACCGTCCGAGAAAAGAACCGAAGAACTACTTCAATATAGTAGGGATCGGCTCAGAATAATCACAGGGTTACTAACCGGTCATTGTCCGCTTAGAGGACACCTGAATAAAATGGGGCTATACAACGGTGACCTTGGCTGCAGATTATGCAACGAATGGACAGAAACAGCTCCTCAAATCTTATGCGGATGTGAGACACTGAATCACAGGAGGCAGGTAATATATGGACGTACGAAATTACGTCCAGAAGAATATGACGAAAATCCAACACGGAACCTGTACAAACTAGTACAAGGAAGGAGACTGATGGAATGGGTGTCATGAAAAGATGGGAGAATAAACGCAATAAGCCCAAGAGGCTGCAGTCTTTTCTGGAGACTTGGACTAAACGGACAAGTCAGACAGCTCTCAAGGGCCAAAAAAAAATGTTTCTAAAGAATATATAAACATCCGAGGAGGGTGATCTATAAAGACATACAACATGTCAGTTATATTTTTTGCTGAAGCAAATTGTAAATTCAAAGGTTTTATCCTCCAAAAGATCTTTGAACTTTTCAATTTGAATGAAGGAATAATCATTCATCACACTGTTGTTAACCAGAATAACTGTACCTCCGTAGTTGGAGCCTGTTCTGGAGTTTCTGCATATTACGTTACTGTGTTCGAAAATGTCTGGCGTGAAAAATTGGATAGGCTGTTCATATGTCAAGAAGTTCATATTATGAAGTTGAATATCAATGTATCCAGGCAATTATTAAAAGTTCCGCCATTTTGTAGTATTTGAAGATATTGACATAAAATATTCATGCATTGATTTCATTATCCAAAATTCCAAATTTTTAAGTGGACCCGTTGGAAAAATAAAAGGGGGACATTAAAGAAATGCACTGTATAACGTGTTGAAGAAAATAATCAACATGAAAAAAAATCTTGAAATAAAATATGCAATATTTTTGTCTGAGAGTGTATAATCTATATTCGTAATATTTTTTTAAATCACCCATAGCATTAGATAAGTTTCATTATTTGCTTCCCTAATGAATTTGTTGGTTTGCTCGCTGTTGAAAATTTATGATTTCTTCACTCTATAGCCAACATTCTTCCTCTTAAGAAATCCGATAACCTGTGGAAAAGAGGCTATGTTTACATTTTCCCCCACTAAAATGGTAATTTTCAATATAGAGTACATGGTCCACGAGGTAGAAAAATTGGCAGTTTTGACAAATTTTGCGCCTACTATTCCAAAATTACATTCTCAGTAATAGTTTTGCATTACTTCGTATCCATCTATATCGAAAATAAATCAGAAACGTTTTCGTACCTAGACTTTGATTGTGAAATTAATTGCTCTCTTCCTTCCTTCGAAAGAGTATCACATTTATCTGTATGAAGATGAAGAAGTACAAAGCCAAAACGTTTTTCCCAAATATTAATTTCAGTTGAATTATCTATTCCATATTATCAATTATCTATTGAAAGCAAGAAGAATACGCATGAATATCCAATTTAAGCAGCATCCCGAAGAAAATACTCTGTTATGCACAATCGCGTAACAATAATCCTATTCGCACATGTGAAAGTCACTTTTGAGCATCTCAATGGAATCTTGGCCATGTATGCAATACCATCGGGACGCTAAACTTTTCTCCGCCGTCATAAAAATCTATTAGCCACTAAAATTATTGCAAAAATCTAGTACGGTGGATGTACCAAATGCACGATTGTGAATCACGATTCGATAAGTATATATAAACGCGGGTCTTCTCCAAGTCATTCATCAGTTGAGATTCCTCGAGGTCTATTCTAGTATCTTTGCATAGCTGGGGGTTGTGCAGTTCTAGTTAGGTGTTTCATCGATATTTTCCCGATATGGACAAGGTGAGGAAGACAAGTTTTTTTTTCAGCTTGTCAGCGTATACCTACATTTTCATTCAAAACAGTGGGTAAATGGTGTTACAAACATTCTTTGCATATCTGTGTCTCAAGTGCAACCTTGCCTAATTATGTCACTCATAGTTTTTTTCTATATAGATGTAAGTAGACACTTTCTACACACATGCAGGATTTTTTGAGAATTTTTTAATCATTTTAGGAAAATACTTTTTGATCTAGAATAGCTCCTTTCTACACAAATCAAATTTTATGAAACCAATACAGTTCGAAGGAAAGTCTATCATATATTTCAAATTCACTGAATTAAACGAGCTTGAAATGCTCATAACCAAGATTTTCTCACGTAACTTCTAAAAGATATCCGTGAAATAGATTAGGTTTTCATTGTCAAGTATAATATCACAATTACATTTCAGTTTGAATAAATCTCGTCGATTTTTTATAGCTCCTCTGATCTTTAATTAATTATTTCGAAAATAGTCGGTCGGTCGGTAGCCGGTCGGTTCGACGTGGGTGCTTTGTTCACTCACTCAAATCGAACGCCGTGTTGGTCGGTGGTTCAAACCCCAGGCTGAACGATCGATTTTCACTTGCTATTGTCCAAGTCGTGTTAGGAATCACACGTTAAAAGGTAAGATCTCGTTAGTCCTTAGCTCGTGTAAGTTTCAACTTCTGAGGGTTGTCGTTCGTAAAGGTGTAACAGCTGGTTAACGGAAAAACAGATTCAAAAACAGATTTTTTTCAAAACAGTTTCATGTCACGTTCTTTACCACCCTTGCTTGCTTGGAAATTGAGAATTTTGTGAAATATTTTCAATATTCATGAAAATACAACAATTTTTCCATCTTTCTCAATATTTCAAACACACTATTTTTGATTCTATTTCCCATTATTTTCCATTTTCTATTTATTCACATCAGTAGTATTCATTAGGAAATAGTTATGGAAAATTAAAATGGATACTACCGGAGTGATTAATTATAACTAAGAGAAATATATTGGGAAATCACGAATCAATTTTTTTTAATCGTCTAGAATTGATTGAAAAAGTCGGAAATTAACGCCAGTAACTCAGCAGAATTTTTTTCACATGAAATAAATTTCCTTTCTTTATTTCAGATATTATTATAAAGTTCTGAAAGTTAAAATCATTCTGAAATCATCATCCAAATATATGTTTTTTGTTGAGAAAATCAAATAAAAAAGCCTGCAATAAACGATCTCCTAAATTTCAAAAAACGTTCGTTTTAATTTGAAAAAAGATCACCAAGACAAGAAACAAAGCCCTTTTTTCCTAAAAATGGAAAAACTTTTCGTTATGCATACAACTGTTTGTGGTTATCTGCCCTGAGAATGCTTCTATTCCAAAATTCAATGTCTCTCATGAGAAACTATACTTCAAGTATTTTATAAAGTTGTATTTTTTTTCTTGCATTTTGAACCGTTTTTGCCTTGAAAGCAATAACTACTGGAATTACTTTCGATAAAGATTCAAAGAATTTTCCATGAATAACATTTTGTTGGAGAATTTTCAATTGTTCCAATTATCACAGGAATTGTGAAATATATCAATGTTGAAGTAGTGTAATTATTGTCTCTCAGTAAATATTCAATATTTTGTGAAATTCTACCAATCTCAAAGTTTATATAAACTACAAATTGTGTGATATTTCACCTATTTGATTTTTTCAATTATAGAACTTTTTTAGATAAATTGGCCTCCTACACCTCCTTTCGTGAAATTATCATCAGTTGAGTTTTGAATTTTTCTTTGAAAAAAGTTTGTAATTGAAACTTGAACAGCAATGTAACACATTTTTTTCAGACTAGAACTGAAAAACTGTCTCTCGACGAGCGTTTCGCTAACTAAATTATCATCATCAGGAGATGACTAAAGATTAGCCACCTGCTGATGATGTACTTGGTTAACGAAACACGTTTCGAATAACACAAATTGATCATATCGTTCTGTTTTTTCGATTGTGGTTGTTAAGAAACATATACCAAAAATTATATTGGGTTCTTACTACCACTTTTTTTTCTATCGTCAATTGTTATTTTTCAGATTTTGTCGCTGGTGCTGCTAATTGGAGCAGTTTCAGTTAGGACCGAGCCTCCAGTAAATTCTTATCTTCCGCCACAAAGTAAGACAATTTCCTAGAGAGTTTTTGAGTATTTTAAAATGATTCTACCTGAATGTAGTGTATAAAACATTTATTAGCTTACCTTCTGGCTCCAGAGTATTATATTTTGGAAAATTCTGGAACATTCCCATTTTTGTTCAATTTATACATTCTCGGTTTTCTGGTCATTTTCAATAAATAACAAATGAAAATATTATTCAATATAAAAATTGATTTTTCATTTGATGACGTAATTCATCAATAAGAGCTAATTACATTCATTTCATATTTGAATTCACAAACTGGATCTACAAATTATCCAATCGTCACAGTTATGTATGCGATACCAAAACATTTCCTTGTGTGAGAGAATGAAATAATTATGTAAACCTGCTATTATTTGTAGATAATTAGTTTCCTTGTGAATATGCCACTTTTTCAGCATATCTTCACTGAACATAGTGATCAGCCCAATCTTGATTGTTCTTCGTTTTCCTTTTCAATTGCTTTTGAATGCGCATTGTGAATTGTGAAGATTCTGCTATTCATTAATATCAGTCCCAAACTATATGCATTTCCTGTGAATTTTCGTCAACTAAAATTGATGATTTTTCATATTGTTCAAAATTCAGCTTACTATTTGAGAAGACGACCAGTATTTATTGGTGTTTCCTAATTGTTGAAACCAAACCTGTCATCTGCCTTTCTGCAATTTCATTGGTCATATCTATCAGTTTCCTGATGTCTTAGTTCAATTGAATCAGCAAAGCAGATGACTGTGCAGTGTGGAAAATAATGGAATATGTTATTGTTAGATATTGATGTGAAGGTTGGTCCAAGGATGTACCTCTGAGGTATGCCGAGAAAAACTATTTTTAATTCAAATAGACAACTTTTTCCTTGAAGCCAAATATAAATGAAAGAATTTTAGGGATGTACCTCATATTACATTAAATTCCAGTTGATTGAACAAAAATTCGTGGCTGGTACAATCGAAAGCTTTATTCAAATCCCACAAAGTTACCACAGTAACTCTCAGTAGTTTCAATCATATTCTATATTCTTCTGTAGATGGTGCCCCAAGCCCAAATTACGGTCCACCAGGATATCAACCCGGAACACCAATAGGAAATGGTAATGGTAATGGAAAGTTGAACGGCAACGGTAACGGTAATGGAAATGGTGGAAATGGAGCAAGTAAGGACACAATTTTTTTGTCATCTCTTCAGAAACAGAGTGGAAAATAACCCCTCGATTTTCTGCTGTATGTTTGATGAATGTCTTATACCTCATTCAACATATTTGTTTCAGGTAATGGCTACCATACTAATAGTGACCAATTACCAGGAACAAGTTATCTTCCTCCGACAAATGGTAATGGAAATGGCTATGCCAATGGTAATGGAAATGGCTATGCAAATGGTAATGGAAATGGCAGAGTAAACGGTAGGATAGTTTTTTCAGTAGGATAAATTGACATGTTTCATGAGAATAACTTTTTATTCCTGTTTGCGCAATGAAATTGATACCTTTTTTTTATCAGTAGGTGTGCAGTATTTGCCTACAACGAAGGTAAATGTCAGATGAACTGCTTTGAATGCATTCAAATAAAGCAATTTAAAGATTATGTCAATATTTTCAACTATTCAACATTAGATAAAGTTTCATACGTATCTTTATGTGAACCTACTACTTAACAGAAAGCATGATATATTCAAACCGTCTCATTATCAGTTTAACATTTCATCCTGAGAAAAAATTGTTCTGAAACATGTTGAATATCGATCCTCATAAGAGATATACCTGACCGATATTTCTCAGAATTATGGTTTGATTTTAAACTTTCAGGTAACGGTAATGGTAATGGCAACGGTGGATATAGAAATGGCTTGCCAACCCCATTATACGGCGCTCCTTCAAATGGAAACGGTAATGGCAATGGTAACGGTAATGGAAACGGTAACGGTAATGGTAATGGCAGACCAGGTTCCGCTTACTTACCTCCAGTGAATGGAAATGGTAACGGCAATGGTAATGGAAACGGTAATGGCAGACCAGGTTCAGCTTACTTACCTCCAGTGAATGGTAATGGCAACGGTAGACCCAGTTCCACATATGGTGTTCCTACAAATGGTAATGGTGGAAATGGAAAAAGTAATGGTAACGGTAAACTCAGCTCAACGTACGGAGCACCAATCAATGGCAATGGTTTAAACGGAAATGGTAATGGTAGACCCAGTTCGACATATGGGGCTCCTACAAATGGTAACGGAGGAAATGGAAACGGTAATGGTAACGGGAGACCAGGATCTGCATATTTACCTCCAGCGAATGGCAACGGAAACGGCAATGGTAATGGTATACCTAGTTCGACGTATGGAGTACCTACCAACGGTAATGGTTTGAACGGAAACGGCAATGGTAGGCCAAGCTCCACATATGGTGCTCCTTTAAATGGCAATGGAGGAAATGGAAACGGTAATGGAAATGGTCTACCGAGTTCAACATATGGAGCTCCCACCAACGGCAATGGCGGAAATGGAAATGGTAACGGCAGACCTAGTTCAGTTTATGGAGCACCCACTAACGGTAATGGGGGAAACGGCAACGGTAATGGGTTGCCAAAGCCTGTTTATGGACCACCAACTAATGGTAATGGTAATGGCTATTCCAACGGTAATGGTAATGGTTATGCAAATGGGAATGGAAATGGTAATGGAAACGGGCATGTAAACGGAAATGGAAATGGTAATGGTAGACCCAGTTCTACATATGGAGTTCCCACAAATGGTAATGGTGGCAATGGAAATGGTAACGGCAATGGAAGACCGAGCTCAACATATGGAGTTCCCACAAATGGCAACGGTGGAAATGGAAATGGCAACGGGAGACCAGGACCAGCATATTCACCTCCATCAAATGGCAACGGAAACGGCAATGGTAATGGTTTGAACGGAAACGGAAATGGCAGACCCAGCTCTACATATGGAGTTCCCACAAATGGAAATGGAGGAAATGGAAACGGTAATGGTAATGGCCGACCGAGTTCCACGTATGGAGCTCCCATCAATGGCAATGGTGGAAATGGAAATGGTAACGGCAAACCTAGTTCAGTTTATGGAGCTCCCACTAACGGTAATGGGGGAAACGGCAACGGTAATGGGTTACCAAAACCTGTATATGGACCACCAACCAATGGTAATGGTAATGGCAATGGTTATTCCAACGGTAATGGTAATGGTTATGCAAATGGAAATGGTAATGGAAACGGATATGCTAACGGAAATGGTAATGGATATGCCAACGGAAATGGTAATGGTAATGGATATGCGAACGGAAACGGTAATGGATATCCAAATGGTAATGGAGGATATCCTAGTGGTGGACCCAATGGCGGAGAGGGATTGAACGGGGTAGGTTCATCTGCATCATCATGTTTTGATTCGTAACAATTTCAAAAAGACTCAGCTCAGTTTATATTTTGAAAGGTTCCATAAATTGTTCCAAAATGATTGGGAGAACCATTCGAAATAGATTGTTCAAACTGAAATCACTTATTGAAGATCCTTTTGTCAACTGTTTATGAAATATACTCAAAGTCATGAAAATTTTTCATTTATAATGAATTTTTGACATTAATATAAGCATTAATAGCAGTATTCAGTTCTAAAAAGAAATGGGTTTGTTCGGTTTCTGAACCTTATATAATACTTTCTATACTTTCAATGAGATTTTGATGAACACCATTTTTTCGAAAGGAATTTGATGACAAATTTGGTTGGTGAAATCAAACCACAATTCTTTGTTAAAAAATCACAAATAGACGATATTTTAATCACTCGATATTAGTCATTTTTGAACTCCGTGAATAATCAGTAATTTTTCTGTTCCTTTTTCTCTGTTTTCATCTCAATGAATAAGAATGAACAGAATCATTAATCCAAGTAAATAAGCAAAGCAGAGAGATGACTATGTCAAAAATATTTATCATTTGGAGAACTGCGTTTATGTGAAACAAACTTCCTAAGAACATTTTTCCAAATTGATTTGATCACCAGCGCTCTTAGAGCGCCTTGAAAATTTTGTGTAGTGCTTGTGTTTTCTTCTCCATGGAAATCTTGCTACAAGTTTGTACAGTTACCTCTTGCTCCATTGCACAAGGCCGAGGTTGATTATCCACACGTATATATCATAAATATTACGGTATTTCCTTATGCTCATATATTTTGAACAGAAAAGTTTGAATGAAAGTTTCAACATTATTTTCACACCTATAACCTTTGCTGCTCTCCGAATTCAGCTATTACTTCTCTATCTGTTCCAATTATTGTTCAATTTTTTCATACTCTTTTCACTGGCACCTTACATTTCTAAACCAGTCACATGAATCATCAACTTGGTCTATTCTTCTTTCGATCTGCGAAGAAAAATTCCCTAGAAGACCAAGCTGACTTTGACAAAAGTTTTTTTCTCTATCTGACAATCTCCACTACTTCCTGGAATTCAAAATCATCTGGTCCTCTATCGATTGCGGAACAATCATTGAATCAATCACTGTTTTTTCAGGGACCTGCCAAATATGAGTTCGAATACGAAGTGAAGGACCCAGAAAGCGGAAACGATTTCGGCCACAAAGAATCCAGGGATGGAGACTTAACAATAGGCGAGTACTTTGTTTTGCTACCAGATGGACAGAAGCAGACTGTGCAATATGAAGCTGACACTGACGGCTATAAACCAAAGATCAGTTACGAAGGTAGATTCGCAAACAATCAGTATAATCCGCTTTTTGCTTCCATGTTGCTCGTTAACAAAGGCTTTGATTGATGTGGGAATATTTCCGGACCCAAAAAAGACCGCTTAATCCTTCTTAACATTTGAACGGCACAAGATATCAAGGTCGAACCAAATTCATATGAGAAGGCAACAGCATTTTTCGACAAGAAATAAAGTGTTGCATTACTTGTCAAAAAGGTGTTCCATCTTCATTTTTTGAATGAAATCAATTACAATTATGTATAAAATACACATATATCTTTTAAAAATATCCAGAGGCGCTAGAGATGCTATAGCGGTTAGGTGAGGTTAGGTTGAAACCCTTCACCGCAACCCGCAAGGGTTTCTTGTTGCTCACACCTATTTACACTCGACCAAATAAACCCTCCTCCACAACGAAGCCGATTAGTGTATATGGTGAGTAATCTTTCAGGTTAGATGGTAAGAGTACAGCTCTGCCAAACTCTAAAAACATGATTCTGACCGCAGCAGGCAGGCACAAAGTATTTGCTATGCTATTTCATCATTTTTCAAACAGAGGAGACATACACTGATTTCCGACAATCCGAGTCTCTACATATGATGTTCCAGACGACTGTGCCCTGTAAGAAGGCCTGTTAGACATTGTAATTCATCCCTACTGTAACCCAACAAATGTTTGGTTTCGAACTTCGAAGGGTGAATGAATGCGTTGGAGTGAGCCAATCCTGGAAGGTTTTGCCAGGAGTCCATGAATCTTCTTTCCATCCAGGTGTTCAATGTTTGTTTGGCAAAGCCTAAAGCGACGCCAATGACAGATTCTGGTCCGATGAAGCTACTTGCAGCACCCTCTGTTGCATAGAAGTCAGCAGCCTCATTGCCTTTTAGGCCAATGTGGCTAGGAATCCAGATTTGAGACAATTTGTTAAGTCTTCCAATTGAGGAGAGTCGTTTTTGGCAATTTACTAACAATTTAAACGTTGCTCGGTAGGAGCCAAGAAATTTTAACGCCACTTAACTGTTCGAGAATATTTCCAAAGACTTGTTTATGAAGTTGGATGCTACCTATCTTCCCGCACAAAATTCAATAGCATGGTTTTTCGCTTGAAATGCAGTCGCATAGGTCTCTAGGCAGATTGATATCTCTGTCCTCGGTCTGCGACTGAAAGCACCTGTATCAGAACCTGAAGGTGTTTTCAATCCATCTGCTAACCAACAACTATCTGCTCTTGATATTTCCTTCTCCTGGAGGATCCAGTCATCTCTACTCTAAGAGGAGAAAGATCTAGAAGGATCTTCATGACCGCTGATGGTGTAGTACTGATGGCACCACAGATGTGACCATTGGTCTGACAATCATCACTATAACAGGTAAAATAGTTAACCATTTTAAGGGACCATATCTACCTACCTACTGTTTTGAATAACCAACGAATGAGTTTCAAACTGATTACGTTCCTCATTACGACTGGTTATTCGAAATTGGCTAGATGTTAACTGAAAGGTGGATATTCGGAATTAGGCCTTCAAAATGGTCCGTTAGATCATCTGATACAGAGCCTTCTTGAAATTATAGTACTCTTTATTCGTTTTCGGATTCCTAAAAACAATATAAAATTAATAATAATTCAGGGATGGCTGATCAGATTCGCAAATATTAATCAGTATTCGATGAAGAATCGAAATATCTATTACAGGAATCTTTATATTTGTAAAAAAATTGATGGTAGCGCCCTCTTGACAGAAAACCATGCATCACTTTTACCTTTGTTGTCAAAAAGCTCTGAAAATTTCACTTTTTCACATGAATTTTGTCCAACTTTGATGAACATTAGCGTTCATTAATTTCTACAGTAAGTATATTTTTACAGGGATATATTTCAAAATTGCAGTTTTTTGCATAACGCTTTATAATACTCTAAAACGCTTGTAACACTTCTGAAACCACATTCCTCAAAACGATACTAATGTTCTGTAAGATCGAAATAGAAAGCTCAACCTGAAATGGAATAGTTAACTCAGATTCAAGAATACAACTGCTACAATGCAGTATTAGTTCATCCCAATCCAGTTTATCGCTCTTGTCTCCCCAGAAAAATATGTAGTTTCATAATCTTCAGACAATACTTTCTCAAAATTTTTTCATGTTTTCATTTACCATTTGATATAATGGCGTGCCCAATCGACGTGATGCCAAGTCATACCAATTTTGTTCGTGGATTTTTTCTCTGGGATATCTCAGATATCATAGTCAAGGCTGGCTATTTTCAAAGATCCATACACTCTCCAACTCTTTTTTTATTGTACCCCAACAGTCTTTTGGTAATGACCAGGAAACTTTTATATATAACTCCCAGTAACAACATACTTATCTCTTGTTTCGGAGAAATATAATAACTTGATTGTGGAAGAGCCTATCAGGACACACAAATCCTTCAACTAAGTTGATTCATTTGTGGGTTGTCAAATTAGATACTAATAGGTCTCAGCACAAACTCAAAAACTTGAATCACCCTATAAATTTCAAATTATACCCTCTTTGGAATAATGTTCACGTATATGGAGCTCTGTATCCAGACTCACAAAGCTCTTTCTTGAGTTCTATCCATCAAAAAGCCCCTGCTTGAAAGTTCAAACATCACAAGCAGAGTTGAAAATCAGAAACATCACAACAAGAATCAGGACTATTTCTTCCTGAAACTGCTTATAGATCCCTGTTTCTTCCTGTAACTTCTCCTCACATGATTGAGGTGAAATTTCACTATCACCTGAATGCTGAAAATAACAAGAGGACTTTTGAATAAATCGATAGAGTAGAAGCTTTTGTATACATGAATTTAACTTTTGTTGTTTTGCTCGTAGGTGGTAATGGTAATGGTGGATACCCTAGTGGAATACCAGCTAATGGAAATGGTTACCCCTCAAATGGAAATGGAAACGGGGGTTACCCGTCTAACGGCAATGGAAACGGCAATGGAAACGGGGGTTACCCATCAAACGGCAATGGAAATGGAAACGGTGGTTACCCGTCAAATGGTAATGGTGGGAGTAATGGAAATGGTGGATACAGATATTAGATGCTCCAAATTATTATTTTCCAACATTGTACAAAAATTGAAGAGTTTATATTGTGTGCGGAATGGTTGATGAGAATGAATCCATTTTAAATTTCATAATTCGATGGGAATTTGAATAATATACGCTTATTATATAGATAGTATTGGAACATACAGTTTCTGTGTAAACGTTTATAGTAGTCAGTAGGTATTTTAAATGTATAAAAAAGGGATATCTTCAAATGTCTCGTCCGTACTATGCTTATACTGAAAAGAAATTACGAGTAAGCTACCGAATGAAAGTATTATTTATTGTATTATTTCTCATACTACTGTATAAATAAGTATATAAGGTAATTTAGGAGTAGGAATTCAGAATATGAATATTTATAGTTAGTTTGTAACGTTGACAACTGCATTGCTCATGGAACTCCGACTGACAATTGGAAATCACTATATATATATATTTTTGTAAAAATATACTCTAAGAATTAGAATAAAAATATCCAGAGGCGCTAGAGATGCTATAGCNCTCTAATATATAACTCAACATCTATCAAGATGGAGTAGTAGAAAGCCAAAAACTTTTTCTTTACCAAAAATCAATTTTTGTACTTCAATTATAAATTCATTTCTTTTTATTTCTCTGGTGAACGAATAACACTAATTGAAACCTGTAGAACTGAAATTTATCAAAAGTGTTAACACAACGATCAACTTAAAACCTAAAATAATAATGGAAATCGAGGAGAGTTTTTGAAAATATTCAAATATGACTATTAGTTCATATATTTAATGCAACTACATGTGCAATAAACTGTGTCTATATTATGCAAATTCGAATCACTCATAATTTGAATAACATTACGTCGGTTCGGAAGAATCTGTTAATAATGAACATTGATAAAATATATGCAAGCTTCAAATATGCCAATTGAAGTCCCACTCAGATACTGTTCCGTCTTCACCAGTTTTTTTAATTTTATTTTCATTTTTCCTCTTTCATTTTTAATCTGCGTTGAAACCGTTATTATACTATCCAAATACTATCCAGAAGTTAGTCAGGAAACAAAGCCCGAAATTCACTTGCAGATTAATATATCCTCAGGTCAAACAACCAGAAATCAAGAAATGGGTAACGCTAACATATTTTGGGAAAAGAACAGGAATTATCGCAAGTTTCTTCAGAAAAAACAATGTGGAAGTAGCATTCAGACCACATGCCAGGTTATCTCATTTTCTTTTCAATGCCAAAGATAAGGTCGACAAGTTGGAAAAATCTGAAGTTTATAAGCTTAAGTGTCCAGAGTGTAATAGTGTTTATGTGGGACAATACGGACCAAATTTCCAAAAACGGTATGCTCTTTTCATCATGATCCCCTACCACATAGTAACGGCTACATCCATCAATTAATTGAACAAAAGTCAAATTTAATTAAGATGCAATGTATATTTTTCTGAGCAGTAAGAGAACCAAACTATAGTCTGTTGCTCAAAATCGATTTCAGTCTCTTCATATCTCCAAAGACGAATTTGATTCGTCGTGAAATGTTAGTCATCTACCTAGATGTATTGCTTGTTTACTGAAGATTAATGATCGATATTTAATCGATGACAAGCGTGTGGGAATGTTGATCGTTGTGTTAAAAGATCAAGTAATGCCTGATTTTGGCTCTGGTTTTGTGTCGACAAGAATATCATTCATATAACCTGTATTACATACAAATCAAAGTTACAATGAAGTATCAGATATACCAAAAAAAAATTTGAAGAATAACTCAGATATAGATAAAATCAGTTTTTTTATATTTTTTCTCACTGTTTGAATAATGGAGAGATCACAGTTTTTATAAAAATATATTGAGTTCCAAAAATTTGTTGAATGATTGAGATGATGGATCTGCTGGTGAGTCTTTGCATGATTGACAATATAACACAGGTTTGGTACAGATAATAATCATTTTGATGTATTTGAAAAGCTCACTCTAGGTGGCTAAAAGAAAGAATGGGGAAATATATGGTTAATCTAGATTTCAGTAGAAATAGAAGCTTGGATAGCATCAAGTACTCAGTTTGGTATTATGTTGTATTAGAGATGAAAAATAAAAGATTGGAGTTGTCCACTACATAACATGAATTCACACAATCACATTGCTAGAAAAGCAAAATCCAGTCTATTAGAACTCCAAAGCACTTTTTATTCTGTCAATATTTTCATATTGTGAAGAATTATAATAAATATTTTGGGAAAGGAAATTTTTGGCTTTCTACTACTTCATCTTGATACAAAAAAATGTGAGAATCTTCCAAAGAAAGATAGGAAGCAATCAATTTTAGAAGAAGTAACTCTATAATGGATGTGTAGATTATGCAAAGAAGTAATTTTCAGGCACAAACTGGAAAAAAAGTCTTTCTGAAAATATTACCTCGTCAATTCAAACAAAATTCCTTTTGGCTGGGATTTAATCAAATAGTGCGGTCAATTTAGACATTCGAAGCTCCCTCGATTCCCATCAAGCTGAAAATCAGTAAAATTGTTCAAAATATGATTTAAAATAAATTTTGAAAGTTTTCTATTTTTTCCCTGTATGGAAAAATTGTATTCGAGTTCAAAGGTCAAAAAAACGAGTTTTTCGCGATTTTCAGCAAAACGGTTAGTTTTATCATAAAAATACTCCAGACAAAATTGTATCTTCAAAAAAAATGTCAATACTTTTTTCTTATGAGTCATCGTTTTTGAGATGTAACGATTCGAAAAGTTGTAAAAGTTGTAATCGTCATAATATGCACACGTTTCCACGCCACTCACGAGGTAGTGTACTTAGTTCGTTTTTTTTAACGTGGTTTCCCCACTAGGCCGATTCCATGGGTCAGTTGTGATCCTGTTCAACTTGAAACTATTGCAAAATAATGGATAGTGGCAGAGATTGAAAAGAAAGAAGCAATTCAAGTTAAAAAAGTAGTAAATTTCAATCGTCAGAGCCGTCTCTTTCAAATTCTCCTTCTTATTCTTCTTCATGATCTTCTTGTTCTTGTTCTCGTTCTTCTTCATCTTCATCCTGAGTATATGTAAACTGCGTTGGTAGCGATTTACCGCATGTCGCCTCGTTGGAATCAAACAGATCCTTAGGTTGCTTTACTCTCATTTTTTGGTCTAATTTGACCGGACTGAAATACGTGAATGAATGTTATTACGATGCCATCGATGACATAAGTAGATCAAACTTATCCCGTGACATAAAAGTCGTAATTTATCAACGAATTGTATTTTTTCTTATAATGTAATCCAGATTCGTACTGAAGAGCCCAAAGGCAAGTGTCTTACGGCGAAATATCGATGTCTACCAGTGAGGATGACACTGTTCCATATAAGTGAATTTTTTATCTTTCATTTAGTATACTGTGTAGAAATCCTGTGAATGATGTCTGATTTTATTTCATAACGAATGTTTGGAATACAAACTGAGCAGGGAAAAGTGTTTTTTGTATAATTCAGTGTTCATATAAAAAGATTTGTTTCGAAAGAACTTTTGTTTCGTGTAATCCAATGTTTATATGGAAGTAGCTGTTTCAGCGGGACTTTTTTTTTCCAGTTTATGTGAAAGTTACTTCTTTTTATGATCGTGTATGGATGTGTAATCCATGTATAGAGTTACTTCTTTTAAAATTGATTACTCTACCAACATAGAGTAGTAGAAAGTCAAAAACTTTCTTTCCCAAAAAATCAATCACTCCTGAAAATGTAACTCTTTCAATTCAAATAGTAAATATTGTGTCCATGCCAATTACAGAAAACTTCAATTTGTTATGTGCATATTCAATTAAAAATGTATCGGTTTCTACAAGAGAAAACAGAAGTTTCAAAACGATATATACTTCTATTTTAATTTCATAGATAACGGAATCAAGGCCACATGAATGTGTCTCATTAGTTTAACTCTGTTCACAATCACGAAAAATATCAATTAACACGTAAAATGAATAATTAGTAACATATTCATGGCATAAGGAAGATGTGAGGGGTTTTTCGCTAAGATTTTGTAAGTTGTCTTAGATCATGAACATCAGTAGTGACCGCGGTATATAAAACAATAAATTGGTGGATGTAACCGTTACTACGTGTTAGGAAGTCATTATGAAGAAAAGAGAATTGAAACTTCAAACTTATATACTAATATATGAATTTGAGAATGTCCTAATAGAACGAAACTGCAGTAACATTGTTACAAATAAAAGTGGTAAAAAAGATAAAAAATTCAATTCTCTCTCCTTCGTATATAAAACAATTAAAACAGAAAACCACCGTCATGAATCTTGACTGTTGGACAATTAAAACTCTGCTTATTTTATTGTATCTAAGTAGATGAAACCGACGTGGAGGACTGGCCTCAAATCACGAAAATGAAAAATGAGGAATTACCAACGTATATGTCCAAACTATCAGTGAGCTAGTTCTAATAAGAAAGTTTTTGGAATTGGTGAGTTTCGTAGAAATACTGTTGCTGAATATTAGCGAGTAACAAAATTCTTTATATTCAAACAACCAATTAAGTATAAGAAAATGGACGATAATAGTTGTTTATGCACCAAGGTTTTGTGAGTCTTCTGACGACAATAAACACGTGCGGTGGGTAAAAACTGTGGCATTTCAGTTCATTACTGCATTCACAATATTCAGCGAATATTTAACAGAATCTGAAAATTTCCTTCGATATTAACAATACTTTCGAAACTTCATAATAGTTGTTTTATAATCGTTGCTACGTAAATGCATTCAAAAAACACGATTCAATATGAGATTTCCACTTGAATGTTTAGAAAACAGCGACATGTGATTCGCTATATGAGTATTGTGATGCCCGAGGATGCTATCGTATAGCAAAACACGTGTCACAGTTTTGTGAACTCTCAAATGCAAATCTCACATTGAAGTGTGTTTTTTATTACATATAATAAATTTTCATCAAGTATCGATCACTTCTATCATGTAACACCAATTTTGTTAGATCTTAAACGTGAAAACTCCTGGTGAAATTACAAAAAACGGAAAAAGCGACACATACCACTGTTCAGTAGATATTAGGCTCAATTAATGTGTATGCTTCTGTGTAGTGGTATAATACTAATCGATAGAGAATTTTGTACTCTACTCCAAATTTTGATTTTCGCCCCTTTTCAGCACAATACTCAATGTCGTTAATAATAATAATAATAATAATAAAGCATTTATTTCCCAACAGTAACAACCATTTACAGAGCAATTTAAGATGAAAATATTTATATATTAAGTATACTCCTAGCACTAATACATAGAAATTTCAGCGTTATCATACAATATACGCTCTAGACTTATTTTTTAATTCGATTGAAGAACAGGAAAAAATATCACAATATTCACAAATTTTGTTATAGTTCGTGCACATTACATAGATTGGTGCCTT